AACATACGTTGGGGCAAACAATTGCCACGTATATGGGCCCGGCGGCGGAAGTCGTCTTGTCAAGCGGTAGCTGACAGTTGGGTCCGCGGCGGTAGTCGCAGAATGGTTTTGCTAATGGGGCAAGGCAGTGGGATCTGCTTTGGCCGGCTACCTGGATCTGCTTTGGCCGTCTACCTGGGGCTGGGCAGCGGTAGTCGGACTTAGGCCAGCAGCGTGAGCTGCTTTTGACAGCGTGGTAGTTGCCAAGCAATGGTAGCGTTTAAATATGCTACCGTGGGGGCCGGACAGCGGTAGCAGTCTCAGGCCAGCAGGGCTAGCTGTGAATCGCCGTTGGCCACGCTAGTAGCCATGGCAACGGTAGCATTTTGGTATACACAATTAGCAGCTTAGTAGCCCACTAGTACCTGCACACCCTCGGCCATTTAACCCAATCTCATCTTCTGTTTTTATTATAGGCACGGGCATCCACGGCTCGGTGGCCCGTGCCTCTCCTTGGCATATCGCGGGATAATTACTTTTGACATATCCAATATGCAAGATAACAGAGATTAATCAATCAACATATTATCGGTTAATCCTTTGATCGATGTTTTTTGCAACTCAACTGACCATTTCTCTCTTGCTGCGCATCAGACCTGGATTCATAACCAAATCTTAGATTAAATAATTACCCCCGACACGAGAAATGCCAAAATGCGAACCACTGATTGCTATATATATGTGACGCCCTCAAAGGCTGGGGTGAACGTTATGAGTTATTTTGCATAGTCTTTGTCAGGTAATCTGAGTGGTTCTACCACTAATTATACCTGTGAAAAGTCATTAACTGATCACCAAGTGATCAATGACGACAAATACATATGTGTAGGGTTAAACCATGAAACGTGGATGACAAGAAGGGTGTAGTAAATATTGTATTATGTGCAATTTGCCTGACAAATAAGGGTCGTTGCTGTTTTAAGTATATGGACGGACCTTCATTGTTGCAATAGTAGTTCGTACACGTATTTACTGTATAATAGACTACATAATTGTACATATACATTTACACACGTAGACGAATTTGCAAAGTGAAAGGTTAATGTAAGTACCATCCAATCAAATGGGAGGATTCAAGGGGATTCCCCTTCGCTGTCAACGGGGTCCTCATCACTTGTCCGAAACCCAGTTTGTTGCTAATTGGCATCGGATGATTATGGTGGCGGCGGCAAGACAACTGAGAGTTGGAGTGTTGTTTCCCTTTAAACTTCTTGGTTTGGGGAGACCCGACGTGTTTCCACGACATGGATGTCCTCCTGCGCTCAGAATCAAAGTCTCTTGTTGGCATAGCATGGTGATACAAGAAATAGAGAGAACTCACGTCTCTTGTTGGCATAACATGGTGATACAAGAAATAGGGAGAGCTCATGTCTCTTGTTGGCATAACATGGTGATACAGGAAATAGGGAGAGCTCATGTCTCTTGTTGGCATAGCATGGTGATACAAGAAATAAGGAGAACTCATGTCTCTTGTTGGCATAGCATGGTGATACAAGAAATAAGGAGAACTCATGTCTCTTGTTGGCATAGCATGGTGATACAAGAAATAAGGAGAACTCATGTCTCTTGTTGGCATAGCATGGTGATACAGGAAATAGGGAGAGCTCATGTCTCTGGTTGGCATAGCATGGTGATACAGGAAATAGGGAGAACTCATGTCTCTTGTTGGCATAGCATGGTGATACAGGATATGAGAGAACTCTTGGCACCTTTTGTGGGCATGAGATGTAGTGAGATAACGTGTCACATGTTGTTGGCATAGCTCGGTGACACAAGAGATGGGGAAAAGAGATAATTTATATTAGAGACGTACAATTAGAAACATACTTTACAAGTTGCTTCGTTTTCTGTTGCATGATGGTGAAATGTATGGTTGAGTATATAAGAGAAAACAAATTGACGGTCGTCTAAAAATCAACAGAAAACCAGAATGAACATTACTCACCACGTTAACTATCTCAAAAGAGTTCACGTTTTTACTTCAACGTTCTGTATGTCTATGTGTATAACAAGTTTACGATTCTGTGATTTATACTTGTGATTACACGGAAATGTGCTATTAAGTTGCAAAGAAAAGAATTAACATTTAAACTGGATAAAAATGCGCCCCAAAACTCTCAGTAACCTATCTACGTGTATATTCGTCCCACTGCATCCACACAGCGATGGGCATGCCAAAGTATTATAATTAGTTTTCTTAACACGCATGACCAATTAGAATATGTATGCAGTACACGCAATGTCTATTCAAAGCACATGTGGCATCATTATACATTCAGAACAGACTACCTAGAATATTATGGTACCATGATCACACCTGTACTCTTGCAAGTATTTGAACAGGTAAGAGACCAATTACTACGTTCCTCCTGTACACGGGTGGCCCAATTGTTAAAAGTGCCACATCAGGCAAAGCAAAGTCGTGTTCCTCAGCTGTGCCAGGATCCGATGATAGAGGGATCGAATCCATAATCTGTTACGATTGTAATCTTTTGTTTGTCTAATACCTTTTTGGGTTAGTATCTCTCATACGTATACATTTCTCATACTATTTCGTCAGTGTAGAGGCATTGAATATAAGAGCAAAAGGGTACAGCACTGCAGATAAAATTATTGTCTTAAGTATTTGATTCAGCATTAAATGTCTAAGGGAGGGAAGTTTTATAAAAAACAATTTGAGCAGTTGTTTTCAGAACTTTGCAGAACTTGTGAAGAATCCCCAACACTGCAGCCTTCTGCATTATCCAGATTGTCAGAAGGGCTGTATTCCTGGTAGCAAACCCGGGTACTCTCCCAATGTCAGACAACAGATTGGGAGGTACCAAACCTAAGGAACAATTGGGAGTCGGACCACTTAGTACTTGGGACGCAAGCGTGACAATTCGAAAGCAAGGTCCGCATATTTGCCATGTTTTTCCTGAATCTTGTCAATCACATTAGTGTCAAAAGGGACAGAAAATTCAATAATATACATGATTTCATTGGATTTATGAAAAAGGACAAGATCAGGTTTGTTGGCCTGAATGGGTCTGACGATGTAACCGTCTATTCCAAAGAATTTTGTATTTATCATATTCCATGACGCCCTCTAACATATTCTGGGTTGTACCATGGATTGACCTCTGAGTCAAAACCACAAGCATTGCGACGACGGTAATAAAATGATCGAGCCACTCCATCATGTCGCTTAAGAAACGGTGCTTGGTCCAAAGCTGGGTATCCACTGACAAAGTTTTGGACAGTCTCATTAAATTCTTTGCATAATCTCACTTCATATTTACATTTTGATGCAAAATCACACATTGGTGGTTTCGGCTGAGAAGTGAATGGTCCTGAGCAGCAAACAGAAAGCCTTCTGTTTTACTTTTAAGACCAGCCGACCTCATCAAAGCGAAGGACTCTGCGGGGTTGCCTTCTTTCTCAACACACTGCACATAACTGGGCTGTTTTTATGTGGCACTTCGCTTGGCTGACACTCATTTCTGTACCGTCTAGCAGTACAGAACCATTAAGAAAATCAACACTGACATTGAGATTATGTCCCACATCCTTGCCTCGTTTGAGGAAACCGTTAAATAATAATAATAATGATAATTATTATACATTTATATCCCGTACTTATCCAGGTACCGGTATCTGCTCAAATGCGGTTTATTTGTTCCCTAACCAGTGGATCTGTATGAATTCCAGTTATCTCTCTGAACTCCCTGGGGTATATACAACCCAAGCTGCCTACTGGCCTAGCGCTGTTTTTACAACCACCTAGCCTGTCGGGTACCCATTCCTGCTGGGTGAACAGAGGCACATTTGAACTTAGTCACTTGCCTAGCGTGACCACATGTTTTTACACTTGTGTTTCGGGTGTATGAAGGTATTCGTGTTTCCAACATTAACACAGTCTCATAATAGACTATGTGTTTTTGGAAACATTAATGAAATTGTACCTCAGGCAATTCTAAATGCAAAATACTTACCTTTGCATGTTTCCCATAGCACGTGGCTGTTCCAATATAAATAACAATTACAATACAGATATGTCTATAATATTATTCATACGTGAAAACAGACCTATTGCATATTTAAATAAAAGAAATACAACTTGCAATTATATCACACAATTCAGCATTCAGGTAACGCTGACGCAACATACACGTGAATTACAACAAATGAAATGTTAAAAGGAAGACTGTCCGACATGATTGGTTTGCCTATTATAGAGAGAAGGGATATCATACCGTCTTTCGCCCTGCGTTTCACTTGAAAGGGTGAACCCAAATCTATTGCACCATTGATCTACAGGGTTGGGCTTATAATGCTGCCTTGTGGCTGCTCTTGTCCAGTGACATAGGATCAGATTGATTGTTCCCTATTTTAAACTGATAGCGACCTGTCTTGCAGGAAGCTGCTATGATGTTTGCCATGTTCCTTTCTACTCCATTTAAAACGGGATCTAACATATTTGACATTTTGTAGTCCTGCAATGGTATGGTATGATTTTTAGGTTTATGAGGTTTATTGTAATCCAAGCTTTGACCAAGACATATGGCATCAAATATAAAACAATGGCTTGTGGTGTTATAAGAAGCAAATGTGTTGTTTTAGTATAGGAAATCACATTAAACCAGGATGTCCCTCTTAGATCCTTAGAATGTAACTGGAATGTTTTTCTAACAATAATATATACAGGTATATATGGGGATGTCGTTTTCATATGTTGTGATGTTGAGAGTTGTCTTGTAAGACTCAAGTGTATCGAAAGTTAAGGTTAAATTGAGGAGTTCACTTCTAATAATATACCCCGCAAAACAAAAAAGAAACGCATAAGTAGTAAAAATCGTAAATATCTGACAGAGTGCTGACGATATCCATACAAACAAACTTTCTGCATGGATTGGGATTGATTTGTGTGGAAACAATGAGGTACTACAGAAAAGCGGTGAAATATGGAAAAATCTCAAAACCACAATCACGCGAGACATGTAACACACCAACATGACATGCACGTGCAAGATCACTTGTTGGGCTATAAACATGTTGGGTTTTCAATGCATGCACAATCTAGCAGCAAGTGAACAGCGAAACCATGCCACGACTGACAGAGTCGGCCGACTGCATACAGGCGAATAATCTCCGGCCGTAGCCAGGTTTTTCAACGTAGCACAAAGCATCATTTCAAGACTGTTAAACGGGACAACATGTGACGTTACCAGATCCGGTCGACCATGTATCACTACTAGAGCACAGGCAGATTCATACGGCCACGTCACTAACGCGAAAGAACCACCACGCCCACCTCTACAACTACGGTAACACCAGGATTTCGTAGGATATCAGCCCGGACAGTGGGAAGCCATCTCCTACACTGGTAGAACAGATCTGGTGCAAGTTCAAGGGAATGTAACGTCACAACGATTCACGGATGAGGTAACGCTGACGCAACATACACGTGAATTACAACAAATCAAATGGTAAGAGGAAGGTTGTCCGACATGGTGTGTGCTGGGCCCCCAAGCATCTGTCCTTGTTTCATGTACTGTTTGTTACAGACCGTGGTCACCACAGATACAGTTACGAATCTAACTTCAAAGGTTCAGGGCAATTTGTAAAAGATCCAAGCAAATGCCATCTGAGGTTAACCGAGGAAACAATATGTGAAATGCTGGACTTCCTCATTGACAAGATCTATGTAAACTTTGGGAGTAAGACACCTCGACAAGAAGTAGGCATCCCCATGGGCACCAATTGTGTTGTAATGAATGGACTGTACTGTGGGTGGAAGACGTAAGCTTCACAAACATGACTGTGGCGTTGTTATTATGTTGCCACAATTTTACATATATGTGTTGTGTGGTTATTCTCTAGTCGTTTCGGAACCCTAATATACGTTCACAACACACGCTGTAACTGTATATCAAACAGCATGCCAACTTCTGGCTCCTGTCCTCTGTATGTGCATTGGGTGTGTGTGGAAATGTGTAATGACATTTTAAAATTGGCCACACGTCCGTAAAAACATGTTAATTCGTTATACGCCAATTCTGTGGTTAAACGCTTTAAATAAGGGCAATACAGTTCTAATACTTCATATTTCTAATGTCATGCTTTATATTTCGAGAATAAGTTACAGTTCTAGTTCTTGGTATCTGTTGTGATTTTGTTCGCACCCGCAGAAGTAACTTTAGTGTTGATATGCTTTCCATGTCCGATCTTTCATGTATTGTCATCCCGATGTTAGTGTACTATGAATTGGTCCAAGTTGATACGATGGCGTATGTCTGCCAATCTAATGTCACAATACCTCCCCTGTGCCACATAGGAGGTGTGTCAGGTATTGGGTCTCTAATATCATAAGAGCGTTGTTGAGAAAACAGATTCTGAAATAAAATTGTCCAGAGATTTATATCGTTGTTGTGAATTGTATTTTGATTTTTATAATTTTTCTTTCTCTGAATCGTTGTTTTTGTTAGTTAAGCCCGTGAAAATCCGGGTAAGAATAGCTCTTCAGCAACCCATGCTTGCCGTTAGAGGCGACTTTGATTGTCGTAAGAGGCGACTGACGGGATCGGCTGGCCAGGCTCACTTTCTTTGTTGATGCATGTCATCGTATCCCAGTTGCGTAGATCGATGTTCATGATGTCAATCACGGGATTGTCTGTCCCAGACTCAATTATTTACAGACCGCCGTCTTACACACGTGGCGTGTTTATTGCCGAGTGTGGCGTTAAACAAACAACAAACAAACAAACAAATCGAGCTTAGTTAACAATTTCCTGTTCTCTTGAGCATGGTCCTAAAATATGGTTTTTTCAGATTATTCTACTTATTATACTGATTTGCACAAAATCATCCTGTCGTCAACTTTATTGTCGAATATAGAGTAGATCATTAGAATATTACCAAGCACATACGATCGATACTATTAAGGGCCCGACCATGTGATATTTGACCGACCATTGCAACAATGAGATTGTTGTGACAGGCAATTCTTTCTTTCAACAGTCCTCCTAGAATATCGATTGGTCGCTCCCTTATACTTGTTGCTTTCCTTCATTAATCTTTCTAGATAATCCCGTTACAAGTGCTTGGTCGACTTGGGTCATCATGCCTCAACAAGAGAGGAGAGAAAAGGCGAGTCAGCCTGGACAAAGGGAAGTCTGGACACACAAAAGAGAGTATATTTTGTCTCAAATAGGCTATTCTGTTGGACTCGGAACATTTTGGAGATTTCCGTACCTCTGCAACAGGAACGGTGGAGGTGTGTATACTTGTGTTCAATGTTACCAAGCTTGACCATAACTGACTACTAGCAACAATCAAGATAAATATTCTCTTACATTGGTACTTGTTTATCAACTCGTTGCTGTAAATAGTTGTGTAAATACGAAATATACTTTTATATAAAACGTTACCAGGTAACAGTTCTGGTGACCATATATTATATCTTCTGTAGATAATACACATGTGCGAAATCGATATAGAGTCGGTATCTACTACTTAAATGGATAGATACGGGCAGATATAGCCAAAACACAACCGGACATTAAACGTATGCAGTCATTTGCAGTATCAGGTGTTCTTTTTCCGTATGCGTTCACTGCCACTTTTAAAATGACAGGATCTCAATCCCTCGAGAATTGTATAATCGACAGGAATTCTTTTATTGTTGGGTTGGAAGAGATTCTTGCTCAGTACTGGAAAAGTGTTCACAGCTACGGAAGCCGAATGGTGCCATTTTGGTAGCATAATAATTTTTTTTAAATCGAAATTTCTATTTAATTCAATTATTGGTGTAATTTAAATTAATGTCTCGTTAAGTTGATTTCTCTCGTTACTTCGATAATTTGGTCGTTATTTCGATTATTTTCTTGTTACTTGGATTATTTTGTCGTTATTTCAAATATTTTCTTATTTATAATTTATCTCCAAAACTCAATTTTTTTTTCATAATTGAAGAAAAGACAAAAAACTCGAAGTAACAAGAAATTTTGAGAAAATAATCGAAATAACGAGAAATTTTGATAAAAAAGAAGACGTTATGCAACTAACGTGGCACCATTAGGCTTTCTGTCCTGTTCAGTGACGAATTACCTCATCTGTTGCAATGGGCAGATTCTATGGGCGGCGTAAGTTCTTGAAATATGTGATTCGTTGTTGATGTGATATTATATATATTTTGAAGAGTGTACATATACTTTCCCATAAAATCACTTATATAAATTATGTTTCAAGCATTGTTAGTGTAATCCTGTTAAAATCAGACACTGCCTAAAACTTGTTTCATTTCCCCTAAAATACATTTTGCAATGGATCCAGAACTTCGCATGGTCTCCGTGAAGGAAGGTGGATAAAAAACTTCATGTACATATACACATGCTATATCATTAAAAGTTGTTAACAAATGAGCCAATTTCACGAAGAGTTTAATTTTCAAAGGAAGAAAAACTGAAAATATGTTTTTTGTAATGATGTTTTATTGTTAAGGTTCACTTGTAAAATGTTTTGGGTGAATCGCCAATAATGAAATCATACACTATAAAATTAAGAATGATTTTAATTAGGGTTGAATGACAAAGTAGTTCGAAAATGCCCATACTGTTACCAAAATGAAATTGTCTAATTATATATGTCCAATTTAAAATTAAGTTCTTTGTAGTTGCACACTGATACAAACATGTCTACTTTGGACATTTCTATCTTAGAATGTCAATTTGTTTAGATAAATGTGTAAAAGCACACGTTTTCCCTGCAGGTTGTCTGGCATGGGTAATAACGTGTTAAGTTCTTGAAAAGTCTTGGCCGTGCCATAGTCATTTGGGATGCAGCTGCCAGCTCGTCAATGACATCAGTGGGTGGAATTGAGTATAAGTTTTAATAACCTATCATGAGTCTTAAAGAATGTTACATATTATTTTTTTCAAAATAGAAATAATTACCAACCTGAAAAAATCTAAAATAATACTTATTTTTTAAAAGAAATGTGTCCATACTGTTACCATTTTTTCGTCCATACTGTTTCCGAACCTGCATGTTTTCTCTGTTATCGTTCACTAAACTTTATAATTTCTATTCGGTATTTAATGAATTTGCTTGTTTTTCTTAAAACTAGCATTGTAATAGAAATAAAAACATATACAAAATATTCTTTCTTGATAAATTTTGAAGAAATGTGTCCAAGAAAGTTTTAATTATAATGTTGAATTGACATGTGCAGTTCATTATTTTATTAAATGTTTGATTTTCTAAAAAAAGTAGAAATATACCACCTTGAACTAAATTTAATTTTGCTTTTGTTGAAGTATATCCTAAGTTTAACACACCCAAATGGCTCATACTGTTATCCAAGCTGTCCAACGTGTTACCAAAATTTCCATTTTAATCTCCATGAATTAGTCATTAAATACAATGTAATGCTAAGAATGTTAAAAATTAAATAATATTCCTGTAATTAATGTACAAAACTTCCTTTAATGAATCATTTTTATAACTTTTCAAAGACATGTCTATCCTGTTACATTAATGTTTTTACGTAACTTTTAAACAAAATTCTAAGTAAGTTTTTATATTAATAATATGTATTTCTGTAAATACTATTTTAAACTGTAAATTGTCCATACTATTCCATTTTATATTGGCAGTGGTAACGGTATGGACTCATATTTACAGCAAAATATAGATAAATTTAAAAATATACTCTATTTTTATGATGAAGCATTGTTCTTAAGTATATAATGTGACAAAATATGAATACATTATAAACATTAGACATTATAGTTTTTTATGAACTTATGGTAAGGACGTAATACTTTCCTTGGGACGAGCTGTTTCCTGCTACATGTACATACCACAAAATCAAAATTCTAAATGGAAATGTCAAACTTTTACTCATGTAGTAGTTTTAATTGTTTTTCGATATTTTGAGAACATGAGACAGTTCTCGAACTAAAAAGACTTGATGTCGGACAAGAAATTGCACAATCGTGAAACTGACTCATATACGACGTGCGTAAAGATGTCAGCACCTAAATCTGTAGACTAATGCAGTTGAAAGTCTTTTGAAATGTGCACATGTTAATTTAAAGTTGTAGAAGGCCTATTACATGTTAAATATGTTATGATGATCGCATCGATTAATTATTGTGATTATGTATTCATATCCTGTAGACAGGATCATTATGAAAAATAGTATTTAATGTTCAGTTTTTAGGTTTAATATGGATGAAGAGTGCAACTCCACCACAATATTATGTTTATTAGAGACATCGTTAGAAACGGTGACTTGCAGTTAAGACCGTGTATTTGCTTAAACGATTTAATATAGAAGATTTGACAATGTCTTTTTTCACAGGTGCATTCCTCATCCCTTATTTCAGTGGAATACTTCTTTGCGCTGTTCCTCTCTTCTTTCTTGAGGTGTCCATTGGTCAGTTCTCCAGCAGGAGTGCTGCTCACGTGTGGGCCGTGTGCCCTTTGTTTAAAGGTCAGGACCCAATTGTAATCTCGTCATCTGTTTTGTCGCAGAGAACTTAAACTGCAAATAGCTGAACAATCGATGATCAAATATCAATACCAGCTCACTGAAATTTTATATAGTTAATAATTGTCAGCTACTGATGTTTCATCCCGATTTGAATGCCTACATGTCATATTGTCTATTGTACGTTTTCTGTTTTGATGGTACGAAATGGTAATCTCTTTGGAAATCCACCCTTTCTACATTATTTTCTTTTCTTTTCAGGTATTGGACTATCTCAAGCTATAGTTTGTTTCACATGTTCTATTTCCTACAATCTCATAATTGTGTGGACGTTATACTATCTATATAAGTCATTTTGGCCAACACTGCCTTGGACAACTTGCAACAATTGGTGGAATACAGCCCTGTGTGTAAATGATCTCGGCAGCAACACCACACACAGCGACCACTACCTGAATTACACTGCAGGTAATGTCCCCGGGGGCACAGGTGCTTGGAGAAAGCCAAATGAGACACTGACAGCATCAGAAGAATTTTGGCAGTGAGTCCATGTATGGATTAATTATTTCTTTTTGATGAATAAATCCTGTCCAATTTTCTTGTTCTACATTCTAGCTCTAATACAATGGTGACAATAATCCATGTGTCATTTGATTAAGCTTAGGATTGAGTCGTAACAATAAAAACGAAAATATATCACAAAAACAACAAGATTCTGGCTTTTCACATTCCAAGTGTAGGAAAGCTGAATACGAGAACGTGTTTTGAGATTTTGAGCAGAACAATTGTCTAAACGAGATTTTGGAATCTTGAAACTGGAGCCTGTGGTAGAACTTTCAAATGCCCCATATTTTTGTGACATTTATCCAATTCATCTATCCATTCTTCTAAATGAATGGATAACTGATATGGCAGGGGCTCCTCTTATAAAATGTGTTACATTTTCACATTCCAGAGTGTCGCTCTTTAACACTGCAGGCTCTTGGCGGTTATTCTGCAAAAATGATAAGATATAATGAAAGACAGCAATACAGTTATCTCACAATTAAACTTATCTCACAATTTGAGAAAAAAGGACCTTAATTTGATGAAGATATTTTGTCAGTCCGTAACAAGAAGCATTAATTGCATTGAGTACTTACGGGAAAGAGGCATTGCATTGTTTGTGTATACACACATGGGTACACAGAATACAATTCATTAAGACATGTTTTATCACAAGTCGAAATTTGTTTTTAACAGTTCCCTTTATATTAACATTATATATGATTTATATGTGCTTCTTTGTACATATATTGGTTTTCTCAACATTTTGTAAGATTTTGTGTAATATGTAAACGTGTGTCCCTATATGACTGTGGGTGAGTTAATGTCAACACTGAAGGATATGATAAATGACAATATGTACCACATTCCAGCTATAACACTGGGGAAACCAGAAGGGTATATATGGACATGTTTATACAATTCACTTACAGTGCCTACTTGCAATAACAACACAGCGACGACACATAACAACGACGCATCGATTTGTCTCTTCATGTATTCACAGTAAAATATCTATAAGCAGACTATAAGCTATCCCAAGCTCTAATACTGTTATGAATGCTGTTGCAGATTTCAATGCCAAATAGCCATTGTGATTAATCAGAAGAGGGTCTTCACAAATCTTGTTAGTAATCTTCGGGTTGTCTTTGCAGATACAATGCGCTCAGAGTGTCCAATGGCTTTGACACACTTGGCTCAGTCCAGACCCACCTAGTTATATGTGCGGTTTTCTCCTGGGTGATATTGTTCTTCTGTATGATGTTCGGAGTCAAATCAGTTGGAAAGGTAAATGTTATGTGTCATACTTAGTTTTATCATGTCTTCGATGCTGTTAGTAAACGACTATAATACATATACCACAGCATTTTATTTTGAAGCCTTGGTAGGCTTACATCAATAGTGGTTGTACTTCTTCATTGATAACATATATGTAAAAAATGGGGAAAAGACATTTAGGCAAGAATTCCATTTTACAATTTTTGCTACCCTGTTTGTTGATCCAATTCTTTATACATATGAATCGGAAATTTTGTTCGGGTTGGCAAAGTCAAAACAAGGAATTAGCTTAAGATTCAGGTATTTCGATGATCTGATATCATCCAAGAACGGTTAAACAGCCAATTCTCTTCCGATGATTTACCAAACCGAATTTGTTATAACGGAAAACAGCTAGACCACCTTGTCTGTTTCATAATTAGATCTATGCACAGTGATTTAGAGTGACAAAAATACTCTCCACGAGAAGAGAGTTGAAAGAGCACCATACGGCTCTTGCTCAAAGTTGTTTGATCAAGGTTACAGCGTAAAAAGCCTCTGTGAAGCTTTCAAAAAGTTTTAAGGAAGACATGTGGAGGACGCATCAGAGACAAAAATGATTTATTACTTGCCCGTGAAGAGATCACCCATTTAATAAACATACAGCTGTATTACACATTGTGTAATACCAAAACGCGTGCTTATGTACTCTCGGAACACGTTTCACGAACAAATATTGAAAGCTCTCAACATCCCTTGGCTTATTCAACGACATTGCGTGTGGAGTTGATAGATCACCGAGAGGAGCTTATGCACACTCGATGACCCCAGCAACCTTGTTGCTATGCTGACGTCACATGGCATTGTTTCGCCGATGGGTCTTGCAACAAAATTCCACAAATTACGTCATCGGGTATTGTGACGTTATTGTAAACTTTGAGGTACAAGGCCCGTTCCACAAGGCGATCGTATTGTAGCGCAACGACAGTCGTTAGTCTAAGTTAAAGTATGTGAGTTGCGATAGTCTTAGCCCTACGATAATTTTGTGAATTTTAAAGGTGGACCGTTGTATGGTATTAAACTCATACCTTTCAACTTTTGACGTGTTTGAAGTATTATTCTGTTAAACTCAATTGGACTATGCCGTGGATCGTGTAGGTGTCAGCCTATTCATACTCAACAGTATAATTCTAAAACGTTATAAATGGCAAGTAATAAATAAATCGTCAGATACCACAACTGTTCACTCGTTTCATAAAATTGGTATTACACGGGAGCGAGTTTAGTATTCTAAATTTATTACTTGCCCGTGAAGAGATCACCCGTTTAATAAACATACAGCTGTATTACACATTGTGTAATACCAAAACGCGTGCTTATGTACTCTCGGAACACGTTTCACAAATTTTGAAAGCTCTCAACATCCCTTGGCTTATTCAACGACATTGCGTGTGGAGATGATAGATCACTGAGAGGAGCTTATGCACACTCGATGACCCCAGCAACCTTGTTGCTAGGTTGGCGTCACATGGCATTGTTTCGCCTAAAGGATCTTGCAACAAAATTCCACAAATTACGTCATCGGGTATTGTGACGTGATTGTAAACTTTGAGGTGCAAGGCCCCGTTCCACAAGGCGATCGTACGGTAGCGCGACGACAGTCGTTGGTCTAAGTTAAAGTATATGAGTTGCGATAACCTTAACGCTACGATAATTTTGTGGAACGGACGCCTGAATTCTAAAGGTGGACTGTTGTCTGGTATTAAATTCATACGTTTCAACTTTTGACGTGTTTGAAGTATTACTGTGTTAAACTCAATTGGATTATGCCGTGGATCGTGTAGGTGTCAGCCTATTCACACTCAACAGTCTAATTCTAAAAACCTTATAAATGGCCAGTAATAAATAAAATACTAAACTCGCTCCCGTGTAAAAACAATTTTACGAAACTCGTTAATAGTTATGGTATCTGACTCGCTTTCGCTCGTCAGATACCACAACTATTCACTCGTTTCATAAAATTGGTATTACACGGGAGCTCGTTTAGTATTCTATATGTATGATGCAATTCCCTATTTGACTTGAACAATATTTCCCGTATTTCTTTCCAGTGAACAAATGACTTGCTTTTGCATGTGTTTGTGACGGGTACCAACGGTGGGGCAGGATACGCTCACCTTCTCGCAAACACCAGGTATCATCACTATTTGACAGTGATTCATAAACACAAGCTCATGATATAGTCGGAATCGTACACTCGACTCTACGTTTAGCAGAAACTTCTTATGAATATGGAAAGGGTTTTGTTGCTCTTATTGGGAAATTGCTCCGGGAATCATATAACTAAATTGTTCATGTACAATTTCACAGGTGGTGTATGTGACAGCGGTGATGCCGTTCCTCCTGTTGACGGTGCTACTGATCAGGTCGTGCATGATGCCGGGGTCTGCGGATGGCATTCTCTATTTCCTGAAACCTGATTTTTCGCACCTACTCTCGGTTCAGGTGATATCTAAAACCATTTATACATGTCAATTAAACTAACATTGGCTAAGAATGACTAATATGCCTCTTAAGAATGTGAATAATTTTGATAAACGGTCTATGAATAGTGTTTGTGAAACAAACAAATTAAAAGCTTGACAATACAAGATAGTTGAAAATAAAGGGGAAACCGGGTTTAATGGCTTTATGCAACAATGCGTCAAAATGGCATTATCTGGAGGCATTAATCGTAACCATTGAGTTATTATTGTGGACATAAAAGGCAATGTCATTTGCGAGCTTATCCATATGAAAGGTGTGGCTGGAGGCATTGCTGCAGGGTTTCTACTCTATGAATACAACATATGGCGGTCTCATCACCATGGGAAGTTTCAACCCCTTCCACAACAATTGTTTCAGGTATTCTATGGGGTTATTAGATTAAACACATAATAACTATTATTGCACTGTGTTTCCATTACCAACATGACTCATGTAAGAAATAAAACAATATTTAGTGGGCACGCCAGAAACCGATGATTGTGGGTTCGAATCCCTGTTCGCCCCGATTATGTTTCTAGGTTTCTCAGCACCATACCAGTGCTTATGGATTTCACCAAAGTGGTAAACGTCTGAGACCTGCTTTCCTCCCACATTAAGCTGACACGCAGTGATACAACTAGAATAATGTTTCACACGGCGTTCAAACCAACTCACTCTCTCAATATCTTGTCTTAATTGGTTAGAAAAATAAGTGAGAGAGTAAATTTGTTTCAACACCACCTTTAACAGCATTTATTTTTATCTTGGGAGGACAGTCCACACTAGCCCCTACCAAGGAAATATAAGCTATGTATCTTAATATGCCAGGTTAATATTTAAAAAAGGACATATCTGATTATCCCTATCAAAGGTTGAGTAGTGTACATAAGAGTTACTATTATAGACCAACCTCATCAATGGCATGTTATAACGAAATTATATGTATGTTTTATTTAAGGGATGTGGTGTTGATAACTCTCATAGGCGAGTTAAGCAGTATCTTCTGTGGTCTGGTGGTGTTCTCTACTTTAGGCTTCATGGCCAATGAGGCTCAACTACCAATATCAGAAGTAGTGACATCAGGTTCGTACCTAGATTATAACTCAAACATTGAATACAGCCTGGTCTTCAATGATGGGTTTAGACATATGTTCTGACAGAAAACTTGGTATTGAAAACGTGTAGGATGAATCCCCCCACCTTTCATCCAGGGCAAATATTTATTTTAATTTCAATGTTTAATAAGCAATTAACATTCATTATACAGAAACAGCAGTAGTCCATACTGAATCCTTACAAAGACGTAGTCTACACTGAATCCTTACAAAGACATCTTTACTGGACAATTGTAATTTCTCTCAGGTATCTTTCAATTGGTGTAAATTTCATACATAATTTGGTTACACCAATGACATGTATATATTCTCCCAAAACAGAAACGATTAGATGTTACAATATTTCCAAAAGGTTAAAGTCATTTCATGTTTCACTGCTGCATGAACACAAAGCCTGTTTGTTTAGTCCTGATAAAATGTCACAAAACGATTTTATTGTCTTTGATAGAGTTGATATCGATGACGGTTCACATTAGCACGATTCTTTTTCTTGCGAAACTTATCGAATTTATCACGGGTCAAGGTAATCTTGACAAAACATTGTCTTGTTTTTAATAAGGGTGCCTACGTATTCAAAGCAGAAACGTGGACATCTTAATCCGATCCGTCTCCCTGGAAGTTGCTACATCCTATCCTACTGGTGTATTACTTCAAACCAACAAGAACCCATAACGGCTTTCGTTGCGGTCTCTGTCTTTGTAAATAAGAAAGTTTGCCATATGATGCATATTTTTTCATTAGTTGTACACATAGCCAATGATTACTTTCAGCAAGACTGATAGCTAAATGGATCATGGACATATGCATCTTCTTTGTAAAAAAACCATTTGGTCAGCTAAAGTTAGATACAATGCGTTAACATTAAGAAAATGATTATAATCTGAGAAACCACTACATTCCAGAAAGTTATACACTTTTCCATATAGGCATAACTGAGTTTTATTGTCATCAACAACTGGTACTAGATTGCTTGAAAATGTTGCTCTATTTGTTGTTCATACTGCTTTAAAACGAAAAACACTCTATTGATGCATAATTCTATGTACTATGGGCCTATAGCCTCATAATTAACATTATGATAACTTATCGGCTGCAGTGAAGGTCGAGTACATCAACAATGGCTTCCAAAACGTTAGCGTAGCATTAGGTTTAGAGACGAATCGCGTTTTCTTCTTGGAAGGAAAAATGTGCATGCAGATCAATGTATATCATAGACAGAATGAGTGTTATACCGGACGTTGCGTACAAGACGTAGACATATTCCGTGGAGGAAATGCCATGGTGTGGAGAACCATCTCGTTTGATCAAAGAATAGATGTATCAAGCCTGAGTGAGTGCGTGAGTGAGTGCGTGAGTGCGTGCGTGCGTGCGTGCGTGCGTGCGTGCGTTAATTGAACTCTGTATTTTGGTAGAGTTCTCTAGGTGACTGTTCTTATGTTTATGTTAAGGATCAGGTCTTGGGTTCATTATCTACCCTGAGGCTATAGCCAAGCTGCCCTTTCCTCAACTCTGGGCAGTCCTCTTCTTCTTCACACTGCTCACTGTTGGGATAGACTCTATGGTAAGGTATGACCGCGGAAAATATTTAAAGGTTCAAACTGCCATAGATAGTATTCTGGATTAAGAATGAAAGCAACGTTTTGCGTTTTCACTGCTGCAGTTGCAAGGTTATTTTGTAAAAAAAGATAATGTATTCTCACTTGAAGGCTAGTTTCTGTTGTGGCAAAACAGTTTGATTTGAAGTCAGTATAGATTTGTTTTATTCCTATAGCGATCGTTTTGTTTCAAAGGTGATAACTCTCTGGTTCCCGGCTTAAGACGTGTAAATACAGATACAAGCTTAAATGATTCCCTGTTGTCCCTTCAGTCAAAAACGGTATTTAAGTACTGGATATGAGACACTTGCACAAGTTATTAGTTTAGAAACTCATGCCGTGTTCAGCCGGCCACCAGGATTTGAACTAAAACAGTGGAAGTCCATGAGATACACTGAATCCCCACAGTCCTTTTTGTATTAGAACGCAGCTGACATTCTGGCAATCTGGGCTAATATATCCAATTCACGTTTATCAGACCTTTGGTTTATGTCCCATAACTCCTGAAACATACCATTATAAGAATAATTTTCATACTACCATGGATTTCAATGTATGATAGCTAAAATGGATAGAATTATCATTAAACCGCCCACATGTTATCAGAAATCAGCGGGCCACTGTATCTTGATAATGTCCTCATATTGCTTGACGTCGGGCCATTATCACGCCCGTTGGTAGGTGACGTCATAGGATAGGGATAGGTGACATCACGTTCAATAGTGACGTCATCTGTTTTGTTCTATGACGTTTCCGTGTTTGTAAAAGTGGGTCAATGACATTCATGTTGATTTTAGTAAATGTTTCAAAACCGATATTGTTATTTATTTTTATTTGATAACAAATTCTATCCATTTTAGCTACAATATCGGTTACGCTATTTTTCCGGGCATTATCATTTGCAGAAGCCCTCCTCTTTTCAACTGCCCTCCTTCGTTAGTTATGGAAGACCTCGGGCTTCTCCAAGTGATAATGCCCTAAAAAATAGCGTTACCCTTATAAATAAAGCCGTTTATACACGTTCTCAAAATAGATCTGCAGCACTTGGACATCCCATGTGAAGCATTTGCATACAGGGGAAGAAGAAATATCGGGCTTATCAATCCGAGAGCTGATTATAGATGTTACCCAAATCAGCAGCTCTATTATATAACATACTAAACATAGACTGCCACCTGATAAACAATCACCAACCATTCATACCGATATATATATATATATATATATATATATATATATATATATATATATATATATAAAATAATAAAGTCCACGTTAGTCCATCATCTTCTTTTTCTTACACACCTGTGGGTGAGAAACCCATTTGAGATAACTGGTATCAAACATATGTGTGAGATCGAATTCGAGGCTACTCCATGGTATTGACCTGGGGTCAGATGATGACGGACTACTTTCCTGAGCGGAAGTCATTCATAAGTTGCTCGTGCTTCAGTCGAATGTTTACCTACGTCTGTATTGAACAACAGGACCGTGTAATTAATAATAAAAAACTCGTCCTCGTCTGCGAGTTTGATTGTTATTATTATTATCAGTTACATTATATCTGTTGCTATGTCAACATTATCGTTTTTTCAGAGCGTAAACCCCCTGGCTGCCACAGCGACACATGTCCCTTCTCTTCAACCCTCACTTCGAAATCGAATAAAATTCAAAATACATCACGCAGACACTTCACAGTTTTTAATTCCCCCTTCTGTTTATCATTTTCTGTCATTTTAGGCAATTCAAAATTACTGAAAGTGACTGAAAGTTAGGTACATTGTAAATCTCGCCAAATCACAATTCACGGCGTTATATAAATATTTACTGTGTGTTTAGAAATCTAAATATCGGATATTTACTCGAATAATTAAAGTAGAAAAATAGCATATTAGCAATCACGGGTATCAAATCACTAATGATAACTCTGAAACGTCGCTGATAAGCCTAGAATAGTTTAGAATGTTTTGGGAAATATGCACACACGAACGCCGAAGTGTACGTTCCGCCATATTGGATTGTGTTTACAAAATGTCGATTATGAGACGCCTATATTCGATCAGGTATATTTCAAACTCAGCTGCTATACATGCATCCCTGAATTCCTCATACATTTTCGAAACAATGGATAAATGGTCTTTGTCACCAGTGCAAATTATCTAGATGAAATCATGCGAAATAAATTAGGTATGGACACGAAAACTGTGCTCGGAAAATTGTACTTGCTGAAATGTAAACAAAGCAAAATTCAGATTTTACACTGTAGCATTAAAAGAGTTACTTTCGTCTAATTGTTGCATACATTGGCTCGATCACGCGTTTGAGAATATTCATGGGAAGAGTATCGTTGCACTAATTATGGAATTACACATATTTACATTACAATGATGTGGTAAATTCAACAGAAGCCGTAAAAGTTTCCGTCCTGTGTGAAGCCATGACTGACGCTAAATCACGCACAACGATGACGGTAGGCCTAGTTATCTGCATTTCTGACTAATTCTCTGTTACATTGGAAAACATGGTAAACAAATAACAGTACGCAGATTGTCAGAATGTTTCTGAATACTTACGTGACACATTTATGTGTATACGATCTCTTAATCAACGAAAACCTCCTCTGGAAATCCCGCGTACTGTTGTCAGTGAACACGCCATTTTGTAAAAGTCGGTCACCGGCAGTGATGTCATACGGAAGTAAACATTGTTGTACATATTTGGTAATTTCTTTAGGGTGTAAACTTTCAACTTGGCACCCAGCGTGTTCTTGGTTTTTGTCTAGTTTGCATTTTCATCATCGCCTTGATAATCCACAGATAGGACGGAAACCTTTTTGTGTAGGGTCACATTATTTATGAGTAATAAGCAGCAAATAGGATGACGTCACTTATGACAGTGGTGTTACATGTATTAATGCGCTACTGCAATCAATAGACAAACTTCATCGGTTCGATGTTAAAAAGGTGCGATTTTAGGGTGTGTAAGAAACAGATTACTGCACTCGTGTCTGTCAGATACCATTGATCTTACAACTCGTTGTTACAAAAACATACTGTGTTTTCAATGCTAGGTAACCGCGCTAAATTTAACATTTGAAACCTCACGCTGCGCGTTCGGTTCCAAATTCAATTTAGCGGGGTTAAATCTACAGGTAACCTAGCTCTACATTGAAAACACAGTATGTTTATCTCCTAAGTGTAACGTTTACGATTGAAATGACAAATCTATTAATACATTCTCGAGTTCAATTTGGGTTTCATCAATTGGATAAACATTTGTTCTTTTTCCAGTCTCAGCTGCTTGTTACTTGTATACAATTTATAAAACGGAAAACTACTCAATTTCCCGTTTCCGCAATCATCAATGTGTTTGCTGACACCTAAGCATCGAACATCAGGGTCTGTAATCTGCTGTTTGTGTTGTGACTCTGTCTTTTAATTCCATGCCGGTTTCACCGATGTAGTTTTCGCCGCATCCCGAACATCTCATAACATACACCACATCTTTGCTGCGGCAGTTCATGTCGGCTTTCACATTGAAACCCTTGCCATTTGCAAAAAGGAAAGTAGTAAGTAGATGTAACACACCAAGATGCGGCACGTGTAACATCATAAGTGAAGGTACTACTTTCCTTTTTACAATTTTGTGTGTATATATATATATATATATATATATATATATATATATATATATATATATATATATATAAATAAATTTACAAATACAAATATATATATCCGACTTGAAAGCGCTAGCCAAGTACAACATTTATATGGATTATATGGATTTAATTCTCCCCCATGAAAACATGACCTTTTCTTACAGTTTGGTACCGTAGAAGCTGTAATATCTGGTGTTTTAGAAACACGTCCATCTCCCCATCAACAAAACCGAGTGATGGTGACACTATGTGTGTGCCTCATAAGCTTTTTGCTAACCATTCCCTTTGTAACTGAGGTAAGTGGCTCCATACATCCTTGTTGCGTGGTCGATGTTTCATTGGCATAACTTGCCTAAGTTATAGCAGGAAATTGAAAGTACTGTAAGGAATTAACTTTGAATTGTTACTGTGGTGGCTATTGAGTGGACTGGTGCATCTGAGATCTCAGTGACACCATTATTTCCATCAAGTGGTACCCTTATAAAGATAACAGACACATGCTGTAAATAGTGTTGTATAATTTTCTAATGTGTTGGCACCTAAAACAAGCATATCAGTATCTGGAGGGAAACAGTTGACTCACATTTGTATCAGGAAGTCAACATGCAAATGGGAGACCTTCATTAAGCGCCTGTCATATTTCACTGTTTGCTACGTTTCTGAATGAGTTTGTTGTAAATTGAGGATTTGTTCGTACATTGAATCTTCTCTGGATGTCTCCATGGGAGTACATCCTATTTTACCGGAATATTAACTCTGTGATCCCCTGTACGTCTGGTGCCAATTGTCATAGTCTTAGATGTTTTGTAGATATTTTGATTATGGTTTCATAACACATCGATTTGCTTATTTCAGGGCGGAGTTTACTTCTTCCAGCTGTTGGACTGGTACTCTTCTTCCTTCAACACACTTGTGATTGGCTTCCTCGAATGTGTGGTCATCTACTGGATCTATGGTAAATGTCTCCATACGATAAACCCCTGAACATACTATTGTGACGTATCTACAGTATAATGCGCACAAACTACACCTATGTTCAGAGGGGAATTTCTGTCAATGATCAGGTGGGAATGTGACACGATCTTTCTAGAGGAACGCCGTAATAGAAATATGGGTTAATGTTCCAAACGGCATTAAACCTAACTCACTCGCCGTCTGTAGAAAACTAGATATTAAACACATCTGCTTCAGTGTGTGGTCTGTGCACATGTTCCACAACGGTATTAATACCTAATCGGATGTGTTGAGTACTGTTTTGCAAATGTTTTTTTGAAATTTGAAAGAATTGAATGTGATATTTGACTCATGTTTAGCTTAACTTTGACTATACATGTTTTCATGTGGTAACAATATTGACATTTCTGTGTAATTCTGCTGACTGCTGATTCTGTGTTATAAGCAAAATTAACTCACTCGCTAGTTTGTTGCTGAATCTACACAAATCACCGTTTGTAAACTCTTCATGGTCCCAAACGTTTTCCAAAATCCAGTCTGCATAAAAGAAATATTCCTACCCAGGGCATTAAACATTTTGCCATGAAAACATACATTTGGTTACCACTCCTCAAGAAATTGGATGTGGTAAGCTTTATGTTAATCATATAACAGAATAGCTAAGATAAATAAAAATAAATAAATAAATAAAACGATATTGTGGCGATTGATGTATGTTTGTACTATGACATAAATGCTTGCATTTTTGCAATGAAAGTTTAATTTTCTATAACATCAAGACAAACAGAATTGTTTAGTCAATGCACAGAGCACTTTCGTTCTATACGTACATGCAACATTTATTGTTTCAGGTTCTGAGAAGTTCAGCAAAGATATAGAAAGGATGGTCGGTGGTCGCGCTCCCACTGTGATGAGACTTCTGTCTTCTTATGTAACCCCTGTCATTCTCTTTGTACGTCTTGTTTGTATGAACAGGTTTCACATCCATACCCTATGTAGAAAACTCAAGTTTGCAATGATACTACTGTTTATAGGAAAAGGACTTCATAGCCAACTTAAAAAAGACCAACATGCAACATGCTATACACGAAAAGTTAAAAAGAAAGGTCGGTCAATTTGTCTTTCACTGCTTGCTCTGTATTATTATGGTATTTATTTTGTTTGCATCATTGCCATAACCGTCTATATTTTGTTGTTGTCAGGCTGCTCTCATCTATTCTTTGGTTGGATATGACCCACCAAGCTATGGCAACTACCTGTATCCAGAATATGCTAAAATAATAGGCATTTTGGTAACCGTGGGGTTTTCTCTACCGATTCCTGTCATTTTTATGAATGAGTGCCTCAAGAGGAAGGGAACTTTACAGCAGGTATAGGCATTATGTCATTGCTCATAGGTTCATTTTGGCAACCTTCGGGATTCCGGACAAAATAAATTACTAGTTCTTATTGTTTTTTTTCTGGCACAGAAGCCTATCATAATATGGCTTGAATAGTGTGCGGAGTGAAAAACATTCATCCGTAAGTCATAAACTGATTCTGGCGATTTTACATTTAATAAAGATGATTGATTGTTCTGTGAACATTTTAATACTCCTTGGCACTAAAGGAGAAAAATAATAATGAATTGTTTTCAATCCATTGTAGTTTGTGGCACTGGCAATTTATGTGATTCAATAAATTTAAAGCAAATCAAGATTAATTTGATTGATTTTGATATTGGCTCATAATTTGAGGATTGTGTGTGTGTGTGTTGTCGATGATAATCAAAAGAGATGTATTTTACAGCGCTTGTGCCTTGCCAGCAGACCATCACCAGATTGGGGCCCTTTGTGTGGGGAGGATGGCTATCAGACTGACGGCCAGCGAGAGAACACAGCCATAGGACTGATCTCCAGGACTGATATCCCGAACTGATACCTTGCCAGATACATGAAGAACACCAAACCTACCATGATGTATACATACAATAATAAACGAGCTCCCGTGTAATACCAATTTCATGGAACGATTGAATAGTTCAGGGGCGAGTTTAGTATTTTAGTTATTACTTGCCGTTTATACATTTAAAAACAAATTCCACTGTCGTGTGAGAATAGGCGCGATCCACAGCATAATCCAATTGAGTTTACAGAATAATACTTCAGATACCTCAAAAGTTGATACTTGTTAATTTAATGCCATACAAGGCCCACATTTAGAATTCAGGGGTCCGTTGCAAAGACCTATCGTAGCGCGTAAGTTATCGTAACTCCCATACTTTAACATAGACTTACGACTGTCGTTGCACTGAGATCGCCTTGTGGAACCGGACCCTGCACCACAAAGTTTACAATGACATCACAAGTCGCAATGACCCATGACGTAATTTGTGGAATTATGTTGCAAGTTCAACCGGCGAAACAATACCATGTGACGTCAGCATAGCACCAGAGTTGCTTAGGTTATCCAGTGTGCATAAATGTAGTTGAATAGGCCCAGGGACGTTGGGATTTTTCAATATTTGTTTGAGAAACTTGTTTCCGCAGTAGATAAGGACGCGCTTTGGTATTACACAATATGTAATACAACTATATGACAATTAAACGGGTTATCTCTTAACGGGCGAGCCATAAATAAAGATTGTACCATAGTTCCTTTGTAGAAATTCATTTTGCAAGTCAGTATTGTATAACATAATAAACAATTGCAGGAACACTGAATACAAAATGTTGTTATCCTTTCTTGCATTTTTTCAGCAGTTCAAAACATTCAACCACGCAGGGCAGTACTAATACATACATTATATATATCCGTATACATAGACTGGTTTACCAATATTGTCCCACAGCATGTAAATAAACGACTTGCAAATTTAGATATGTATATCCAGCGACAAATGGGTAATATCTTACAAATACTGCATAGATCATTTACTACAATGAATGAACGTCGTGTCTTTCTGAAATACCAATGCACGGGGCCTAACACCTGTCAACAGAGTTAGTAAAAGTCGAACGATTATTTTCATAATAATACTAATAGCCATACACCAATACTTAACTAAGATTAAATACGGTATTGATTATGGTCAGTTAATAGTAGATACTAATATATATACATACGGTTTCCTCTGACAGACAGGACTTGAATGTCTCTTCACTGCCTCTGTTAATCTTCTGAACATCAACCAGATCATCTCCAACCATGCTGTATCAATGATCTGTATATACTGTAGCCTGCCTAAATAAATAAGTCAGTGAGTGAGTTCGTTCTTTTACCAAATTTTGAAACATTTCATCAATATAGTAGGGGCACCATGCATAAGCTCCACATTTTGTATTCCTGTGGGTCAACTTTTAGGATTAAGGACCCATCATTGATATTCTTGTAGGGGACAGAGTTTGTTCGGACACTAGATATGTTGTCAGCCACAGCTGTAAAATTAGATTTTTTATATAATTAAGACTATGAGTTTAAATATTTTTAAAAAAAAGAAAGACACCTTGCAACAAGGTAATTATTGTGGCAGACATTTTTTTCGCAGTCTGAAGCATAATTATTTTCTATCCGTGAAAATCTCTTACTTTATTTTTTATCAATTCTCCTGAACTTTGGGTTGGTATGTCGACACCTGTGCCGTTTCCATCTGCAAAGTACCCCTACAGATGGTCCACGTGAAACCAACTCATTTGCCTGAGCGTGGTCTCCTCCGTTTGCAAAGGGGTTATCTGACTCATTGGTTTGTCCGACGTTTGGGGTGTTTTGTTCAATTCAACATATTCATATGGTCATATGGTCACCCCAGTTGGACGGATGGAGTGATTAGTGTATGACTGGGACAAATCCCATGTTCTGATGAGGTTACTATGAATGTAACAGCCATAAACGATCGCGGTTATGGGAAGCTTAGCGAGATAGTTTACAAAAGAAGAGACATGCCATAGGGTGGGCTCTTGTATTCAGGCATTATTCCAGTACAGGTCTTTTCATACTCCGGTTTTTAGTAAGTTTCATATTTCGTTTTCTTCACACATATGGCACTGGTTACTGGGTCTTGACATGACGAACACGTGTCTTTTTCAATCTTGGCAATATGTTCTCCCTAAAGACATGTCACCTTTTTAATGTGTGGAAAGTGATCGGGGGCCCAATATCCTTTAGCTCACGCATGACAGTGGTGAAACTAAAGTTTGCAAAATGACATTTCAAATCCTTCAAGATATCATTTTCCCAGTTATGTGGGGGTGAATATAGTTTAGGTTTAAACGGTGTCGGAAGTGTTCGATTGAAGACGTTTTGTAGAGCCCTCTGTAACTTATACGAGCATCCAAATAGTAATGGTACAAAACTTTGACTTATCGGGGTGAACCAAACGTCAGTAGAATTTTGTTTCTTCTCTAAGTTATTGTTTGTTAGTTTGTTGTATGTTATTTAACGACGAAATCGGCAATATTCCAGCTGTATGACGGCGGTCTGTAAATAATCGAATCTGGGCAATCCAGTGATTGACGTCAGGAACATCGATCCATGCATTTGGGATACGATGATATGTATCAACTTGGGTTGCTGAAGACCCCCTGTAAGTACATACATAAGATACTAGATGCATGTTTGATGGTCCTCTGCGTGTTGTCAAGAACATATTTGAACCTTTTCTCTTGTATTGCATGTGCAGAATGAGAATTTGATTCCAGCTGTTTCATTATCTCGTTTTATTATCATGGACGTTCTGTGATCGTGTTGGATCCTTGTTACTGTAAAAGTGCCAAAATCTTTACGAGTTTTTATCAAAATCAAATATATTCTTCTACTTTAGGTTTCACATTCCACAGCCAGTAAACACTACATAGTTTACAGCACTTGTATCATAATACGTTATACCTCAACAATACAGTCCACTACCTCAGAAGAATCCGGGCCATCAACACTTTAACGGAACCAACCGACAACAGAGACGCCCGGAGTACACAAAAATGCCCTAATGGTTTTTCAAAGTACTATTTAGGAAGCTCTCAAAGACATGACCTGGAAATACATCCTTATTTATGTAGATGATATCACATTTTCAGAACGTTTGAATAATCTAAAATGTGTTTTTCAAAAGATAAAGCAACTAGGTTTGACAACCCAGCAAATGTAAATTTTCAGCAAAACAAGTTCAATATCTTGAGCATATTTTCACCAAAACTGGCATTGAAGTTGACCTATCTAAGATAGACGCAGTCACCCAAATTCCTTCGCCAAAGACTGTTCATGATGTTCGTCATTTTCTTGGTCTTTGCAGTTACTACAAGAAATTTGTTCCAAATTTCTCAGGATTAGCATGACCTGTCTATGACACTCTCAAAAAAGATGTTAATATTTTGGGGACAGACAAATGTCAACAAGCTTTCTCTATCTTAAAAGAAAAATTGACAACATCTCCAATCCTTGCCTATCCCTACAAAACGTTTCATTCTGACAACAGATGCTTCCAACACATCTCTTGGTTACATTTTAGGGCAACAGGGTTCAGATGGTAATGAACATGTCATCTGTTATGGGGGTAGATCACTTCACTCAGAAAAGAAAAGAATTGGGGGGGGGGGTTCCAACTTGAATGTTTGGCAGTAGAAGAAGGGATAAAGACATTAAGAGGTTACTTGGCTGGGAACAAATTCAAAATTTACACTGATCACAAGGCTCTTACTTGGCTCAAAAACATCAAAGAGGAAACAGGTTGCCTTGGGCGATGGTCAATTATGCTGCAAGATTATGATTACGAAATAGTAGACTGGCCAGGGAAGTCAAACCCAAATGCAGATGCTTTATCGCGTACTAAATACCCTGAGCCTAAGACTGAGCCTAAGACTGAGCCTAAGACTGTGCCTATCAAAGATGACATACCATCACCTCCATTAACATCTAAAAGAACTTATGCTCAGCCTCATGCACTGCCACAACCAACAGTTTTAGTTGTGTCATCCTCTCCCTTTGTACCCCCTTCCACCCCTGATGTGGCTAACAATAGATCCCCGACCTCACCACCTTTTTCCACATCACACACTTCTAGTGTCCCAACCATCCTACCTGATTCTGAACAGGATCCAGACACTCGTATTCCACAAGCCGTTGACCTATATTATGCAAACAAACCACCACCATCTTGCCCATCTGCCATTGTTGCAGCAGTCGACACAGATGATGATCAGTTTCTTACGCAACAGAGCAATTCCCCTGACTTCAAGCCAATTATTGACTACATCTCCCAAGGTGAAATCCCTACAACGTACAATGATGCTCAAATCAAAGGTCTTGTTTGAAGCTCATAGGAATATGTAGTCAGGGATGGTATTCTCTATCATGTGTAACAAGCAAAACATAGAGGCGCCAAGGCCCATAGGCTTCCTCAAATCACTCAGCCTGTTGTCCTACTTATCAAGCGCAAGGATGTTCTATTTCCTTATCATGACTCCAAAGCAGGTGGTTGTCATCTTAGTAGGGATTCCACATTTCAAGCTCTCCTGTCAAAATACCACTGGCATGTATCAAGACATAGAAAATTACATCACATCATGTGGTGTATGTCAGACAATCAGACCCAAGTCCCATAGCAGACATGCTCCTATGGTCCCAATGCCGATTGAAGATACATTTTTTCGCCTCCACATAGATATCCTTGGTCCCCTCCCAGAAACTAAAGATGGTTTCAAATACGTCCTGCTGATAGTTGACTCTTTTTTGCGTTGGACTGGAGGCTTTGCAATGAAGACTCAGGATGCCACTGAGGTAGCCAAAATTCTTTTTAACCAGGGTATTACTCCCAAAACCCTTCTTTCTGATAAAGGTCGGCAGTTCACTTCGCAACTTGTCAATGCCCTGTGTGAATTGTTGGACATCAAGCACCATCTGACGTCATCATATCATCCTGAAACCAATGACATGTGTGAAAAACGCAATAGGACCACTGAGCAGGCGCTGAGAGCTTATTGTGACTCTGATCAGTCCAATTGGGCAGACCTTATTCCATGTGTCATAATGTCAATACGTAGTGCACCATGTGCCTCCACTGGCTACACTCCCTTCTATTTCCTCTTTGGCAGAGACATGCATCTCCCTATTGATGTTGCTCTTCTTCCCAAGCCCTCTCTAGGCAAAACTGCAGAACGCCATCTTCAGACCCTTCTTGACAATCTCAAGTAGCCAAACTATTGCAAAGGTCAACATGAAGATTTCTCAAGAAATCAACAAAGAGCGCACTGACCTCAAAGCTAAAGATCCCTGATTCTCAATAGGCGATCTGGTCCTGATACAAATTCCCTTGTTCTCCCTGGTAGGTCCCCGAAACTGTCAGTTAAATAGGTAGGTCCTGACACCTTACTTCACCTTGGTCCCAATCACTCATTAAAGCTGCAACATGTTCAAACGAACAAGATGCACAAGGCACTCATCCATGCCAATCGCCTCAAACCCCACAATGCTCGGACGCCAACGACCGCCATCATTCTCCTCATCCCAGCACTTCTGCTGAGGCGGACACACGTCATTCTCCTCTTCCCAGCACTTCTGCTGAGGCGGACACACGTCATTCTCCTCTTCCCAGCACTTCTGCTGAGGCGGACACACGTCATTCTCCTCTTCCCAGCACTTCTGCTGAGGCAGACAGACGTCATTCTCCTCTTCCCAGCACTTCAGGTGATGCTGACACACCCTCCGATACACAGGTTCTTCCAGAGCCACACATCGGTGATGCAAGCCCTACACCATCCATTCCTTAACAAGAGGACGA